ATATTTTCACCTCTGGATAAACATGTTTATTTTATATTTTCACCTCTGGATAGACAGCATATTTATTTTATATTTTCACCTCTGGATAGACAGCATATTTATTTTAGATTTTCACCTCTGGATAGACATATATTTATTTTAGATTTTCACCTCTGGATAGACAGCATATTTATTTTATATTTTCACCTCTGGATAGACAGCATATTTATTTTAGATTTTCACCTCTGGATAGACATATATTTATTTTAGATTTTCACCTCTGGATAGACAGCATATTTATTTTATATTTTCACCTCTGGATAGACATATTTATTTTATATTTTCACCTCTGGATAGACAGCATATTTATTTTAGATTTTCACCTCTGGATAGACATATATTTATTTTATATTTTCACCTCTGGATAGACATATATTTATTTTATATTTTCACCTCTGGATAGACATGTTTATTTTATATTTTCACCTCTGGATAGACATGTTTATTTTATATTTTCACCTATGGATAGACATATATTTATTTTATATTTTCACCTCTGGATAGACATGTTTATTTTAGATTTTCACCTCTGGATAGACAGCATGTTTATTTTATATTTTCACCTCTGGATAGACATATATTTATTTTATATTTTCACCTCTGGATAGACAGCATATTTATTTTATATTTTCACCTCTGGATAGACAGCATATTTATTTTATATTTTCACCTCTGGATAGACATATATTTATTTTAGATTTTCACCTCTGGATAGACAGCATGTTTATTTTATATTTTCACCTCTGGATAGACATATATTTATTTTAGATTTTCACCTCTGGATAGACAGCATATTTATTTTATATTTTCACCTCTGGATAGACAGCATATTTATTTTATATTTTCACCTCTGGATAGACATATATTTATTTTAGATTTTCACCTCTGGATAGACATGTTTATTTTATATTTTCACCTCTGGATAGACATATATTTATTTTAGATTTTCACCTCTGGATAGACAGCATATTTATTTTATATTTTCACCTCTGGATAGACATATATTTATTTTAGATTTTCACCTCTGGATAGACATGTTTATTTTATATTTTCACCTCTGGATAGACATATATTTATTTTAGATTTTCACCTCTGGATAGACAGCATATTTATTTTATATTTTCACCTATGGATAGACATATATTTATTTTATATTTTCACCTCTGGATAGACAGCATATTTATTTTATATTTTCACCTCTGGATAGACATATTTATTTTAGATTTTCACCTCTGGATAGACATGTTTATTTTATATTTTCACCTCTGGATAGACATGTTTATTTTATATTTTCACCTCTGGATAGACAGCATATTTATTTTATATTTTCACCTCTGGATAGACATATATTTATTTTATATTTTCACCTCTGGATAGACATATATTTATTTTAGATTTTCACCTCTGGATAGACATATTTATTTTAGATTTTCACCTCTGGATAGACATATATTTATTTTATATTTTCACCTCTGGATAGACATATATTTATTTTATATTTTCACCTCTGGATAGACATATATTTATTTTATATTTTCACCTCTGGATAGACATGTTTATTTTAGATTTTCACCTCTGGATAGACATATTTATTTTATATTTTCACCTCTGGATAGACATATATTTATTTTATATTTTCACCTCTGGATAGACAGCATATTTATTTTATATTTTCACCTCTGGATAGACATGTTTATTTTATATTTTCACCTCTGGATAGACATATATTTATTTTATATTTTCACCTCTGGATAGACATGTTTATTTTATATTTTCACCTCTGGATAGACATATATTTATTTTATATTTTCACCTCTGGATAGACATGTTTATTTTATATTTTCACCTCTGGATAGACATATTTATTTTATATTTTCACCTCTGGATAGACATATATTTATTTTATATTTTCACCTCTGGATAGACATATTTATTTTATATTTTCACCTCTGGATAGACAGCATATTTATTTTATATTTTCACCTCTGGATAGACAGCATATTTATTTTAGATTTTCACCTCTGGATAGACATATTTATTTTATATTTTCACCTCTGGATAGACATATATTTATTTTATATTTTCACCTCTGGATAGACATATATTTATTTTATATTTTCACCTCTGGATAGACAGCATATTTATTTTATATTTTCACCTCTGGATAGACAGCATATTTATTTTATATTTTCACCTCTGGATAGACATATATTTTTTTTATATTTTCACCTCTGGATAGACATATTTATTTTATATTTTCACCTCTGGATAGACATATATTTATTTTATATTTTCACCTCTGGATAGACATGTTTATTTTATATTTTCACCTCTGGATAGACATGTTTATTTTATATTTTCACCTCTGGATAGACATATATTTATTTTATATTTTCACCTCTGGATAGACATGTTTATTTTATATTTTCACCTCTGGATAGACATATTTATTTTATATTTTCACCTCTGGATAGACATATATTTATTTTATATTTTCACCTCTGGATAGACATGTTTATTTTATATTTTCACCTCTGGATAGACAGCATATTTATTTTAGATATTCACCTCTGGATAGACAGCATATTTATTTTATATTTTCACCTCTGGATAGACATATATTTATTTTATATTTTCACCTCTGGATAGACAGCATATTTATTTTATATTTTCACCTCTGGATAGACATGTTTATTTTATATTTTCACCTCTGGATAGACATGTTTATTTTATATTTTCACCTCTGGATAGACATATATTTATTTTATATTTTCACCTCTGGATAGACATGTTTATTTTATATTTTCACCTCTGGATAGACATATTTATTTTATATTTTCACCTCTGGATAGACATATATTTATTTTATATTTTCACCTCTGGATAGACATATTTATTTTATATTTTCACCTCTGGATAGACAGCATATTTATTTTATATTTTCACCTCTGGATAGACATATATTTATTTTAGATTTTCACCTCTGGATAGACATATTTATTTTATATTTTCACCTCTGGATAGACATATATTTATTTTATATTTTCACCTCTGGATAGACAGCATATTTATTTTAGATATTCACCTCTGGATAGACAGCATATTTATTTTATATTTTCACCTCTGGATAGACATATATTTATTTTATATTTTCACCTCTGGATAGACATGTTTATTTTATATTTTCACCTCTGGATAGACATATTTATTTTATATTTTCACCTCTGGATAGACGTGAATCAGCTTCCCCACCGACAACCGCTGCTCGTTATCCAAGTATTAACCGTTAACTGATAAGATTATAATATTGATTTGCCATTAAATAAAAATTAAATTGACAAGTGTCTGTGACCCGTTAACATTTTTCATGGGTTTATTTCAACATGCAAACAGCAGCATACAGAACAGATAAACAACAGAACCTGGATTCACATCAAATTTTCAGAACAACAGAGAAATACAAAATAATAAGTAATATTGTTAAATATTATGGCAATTTAAAATAATTTTAATATATATTAAAGTGTAATTTATTCCTGTGATCAAAGCTGAATTTTCAGCATCATTACTGCAGTCTTCAGTGTCACATGATCCTTCAGAAATCACTCTAATATGATGATTTGATGATCAAGAAACATTTCTCATTATTATCAATGTTGAAAACAGTTGTGTACATTTTTATTTCATGGATTCTTTGATGAAAGTTCAAAAGAACAGCGTTTATCTGAAATAGGATCGTTTGTAACATTATAAATGTCTTTACTGTAACTTTTGATCAATTTAGTTAATCCTTCATGAATAAACGTATTCGGATTAAACGGCTTTTATTTATTTCCTTCTAAAAAATAAAATAAAAAATTCTTACTGACCCCAACAGTAGTGTTTAATGTGACAAAAGCTTTCTATTTCAGATAAATGCTGTTCTTTTCAACTTTCTATGCATCAAAGAATCCTGAAATAAAAATGTAAATAACTGTTTTCAACACTGATAATAATCATAAATGTTTCTTGATCATCAAATCATCATATTAGAGTGATTTCTGAAGGATCATGTGACACTGAAGACTGGAGTAATGATGCTGAAAATGCAGCTTTGACCACAGGAATAAATTACACTTTACTGTATATTCACAAAGAAAACAGATGATTTACACTGGAATAATATTTCACTGTTTTTACTGTATTTTTTGTTGTTCTGCTTTAGTACATAATAAGTGTGTGTTTGTTGTGTGTAGAACAGAAGACCTGAAGTGAAATCAGAGCAGCAGAAGTTCCTGTTTATCTGACAGATTACAGAGTAAATATTTCCCTTTCTTCTGAATGAAATTAACTCTTGAAATAGAGGAGAATTTTGAAACTAATTTATTTCTTTCTTTTCCAGAAGCACACATTATTTAATCCCAGCTTGAAGAGAAGATCTTGAAGACCTCGAGTTTTAGCTCTACATCTGTCTTAAGATGCGTGACAACCAAAGTAAATCCTTCTGGGCTAAATCTTCTGATAAAAACACTTCCAGGAAAGAGGAGGATGTTCCACTTGATGAAATAGTTGAGAATGTATCATCATATTTGAAAAAGTTCTCTCACTTTGAAGAATATGAAAAGGATATTCAAAATAAATATCAAAAGTATTATAATACTTTAATTCCTGATTGCTGGCCAGTTAAGTTCATCAATGAAGCTTGGAGAAAAACAGAAACAATGTACAAATACTCAGGAAGAAGAAAATGCTGGTCTCTTGCTATATTGTTGCAAGTGATGAAAAGAAGTCGTGGTTATGATGAGAATGAAAGAGAAGCACAGACTGATGTGAAGATGGAGAGTCCGCAGTCTGGAGGAGATCCCAGTGCTAATGAAACAGTTCATAATCCCAGTGAACCAGTCTACATACGCATCCCATTCTCAGAGATGATTGACGGCAAATAATGCTATAAATCAGATGCAGATACAAATATAGTTGCAATGGACATTGAAAGCAAGTTCTCAGAAACAGATGAAAAGAACAAAGAAAACAAGGCCTCAGAATCAGTTGCAATGGACATCATTGGAAGCCCTAAAATTGAAGAATATAAATTAATAGACAAAGTTCCCTCACCTACTCAAATACTCCAAAATCAGTTTTACATTACGTTATATGACAATCAAACCAGGAATGCTGCATGGGTGTATGAGATATTGAACAAGAGTACTCTAGCTGATAACGTTGTATATAAGATAAAAGACTTTAAACAGGATGAATCAGTTCATAAATACTTCCGGACACCTGAAGGAGAGGACACATATAAGGATACGGGATACGACCGAGGTCATCTCGCTGCGGCGGCCAATCACAGATGGTGTCAGAAGGCCTACAAGGACACTTATTGGCTGAGCAACGCTGTGCCACAGCAGCGGGGCTTTAACCGTGGCATCTGGCGAACGTTGGAGAACCTTTGTCGAGCATTAGCTGAGAAAAGAGAAGTCCGTAACGTCCATGTATACACTGGACCACTTTACCTATCAAAATATAAAAAGTCAGAGGGTAATAATGATCAAAATAAAAGCAACGAGTTGGATGATGTTGTGAATAAGAAAAGAAAAGTATCCGCGAAAGAGATGGCAAATGTTGAAAATAAAAAAAAGAAGGTGAATGTTGATCAAATTGTGGAATATGAGATTTTGGGAGGGAAAGCAGTGCCAACTCACTTGTTTAAGGTGATAATTGTGGAGAATGATGATGGGAAAGTACTAGCACCAGAATGCTATAAGATGCCCAATGAGAAACCGACCGATCAGGAGAAATTGGACAATAAGGGACAATCGAGCATAGAGACATGTCGAAGTAAACTGAACCAATACAAAGTGGGAATTGAAGTGATCGAGAAAGAATCTGGGCTGATCTTCGAAGAAAGGGAAGTCAAAGAGGAAAGCAAAGATAATCAGAGAAACTCTAGACTCAAAGAGGAAATAACGGACGAAACATGGAAAATGCCATGGACAGCCGAAAACCGTGTAATTTGGATAGAAGTCAAAGTTAGCGGCTCATACACTAATCACAGTGATCGTGCTGTATTACACTGAACACACACTGAACACACACTGAACACACACTGATCACAGTGATCGTGCTGTATTACACTGAACACACACTGAACACACACTGATCACAGTGATCGTGCTGTATTACACTGAACACACACTGAACACACACTGATCACAGTGATCGAGCTGTATTACACTGAACACACACTGAACACACACTGATCACAGTGATCGTGCTGTATTACACTGAACACACACTGAACACACACTGATCACAGTGATCGAGCTGTATTACACTGAACACACACTGAACACACACTGAACACACACTGATCACAGTGATCGTGCTGTATTACACTGAACACACACTGAACACACACTGAACACAGTGATCGAGCTGTATTACACTGAACACACACTGAACACACACTGAACACACACTGATCACAGTGATCGAGCTGTATTACACTGAACACACACTGAACACACACTGATCACAGTGATCGTGCTGTATTACACTGAACACACACTGAACACACACTGATCACAGTGATCGAGCTGTATTACACTGAACACACACTGAACACACACTGATCACAGTGATCGAGCTGTATTACACTGAACACACACTGAACACACACTGAACACACACTGATCACAGTGATCGAGCTGTATTACACTGAACACACACTGAACACACACTGATCACAGTGATCGAGCTGTATTACACTGAACACACACTGAACACACACTGATCACAGTGATCGAGCTGTATTACACTGAACACACACTGAACACACACTGATCACAGTGATCGTGCTGTATTACACTGAACACACACTGAACACACACTGATCACAGTGATCGAGCTGTATTACACTGAACACACACTGAACACACACTGATCACAGTGATCGAGCTGTATTACACTGAACACACACTGAACACACACTGATCACAGTGATCGTGCTGTATTACACTGAACACACACTGAACACACACTGATCACAGTGATCGTGCTGTATTACACTGAACACACACTGAACACACACTGATCACAGTGATCGTGCTGTATTACACTGAACACACACTGAACACACACTGATCACAGTGATCGAGCTGTATTACACTGAACACACACTGAACACACACTGATCACAGTGATCGAGCTGTATTACACTGAACACACACTGAACACACACTGATCACAGTGATCGAGCTGTATTACACTGAACACACACTGAACACACACTGATCACAGTGATCGTGCTGTATTACACTGAACACACACTGAACACACACTGATCACAGTGATCGAGCTGTATTACACTGAACACACACTGAACACACACTGATCACAGTGATCGTGCTGTATTACACTGAACACACACTGAACACACACTGATCACAGTGATCGTGCTGTATTACACTGAACACACACTGAACACACACTGATCACAGTGATCGTGCTGTATTACACTGAACACACACTGAACACACACTGATCACAGTGATCGTGCTGTATTACACTGAACACACACTGAACACACACTGATCACAGTGATCGAGCTGTATTACACTGAACACACACTGAACACACACTGATCACAGTGATCGAGCTGTATTACACTGAACACACACTGAACACACACTGATCACAGTGATCGTGCTGTATTACACTGAACACACACTGAACACACACTGATCACAGTGATCGAGCTGTATTACACTGAACACACACTGAACACACACTGATCACAGTGATCGAGCTGTATTACACTGAACACACACTGAACACACACTGAACACACACTGATCACAGTGATCGAGCTGTATTACACTGAACACACACTGAACACACACTGATCACAGTGATCGAGCTGTATTACACTGAACACACACTGAACACACACTGATCACAGTGATCGAGCTGTATTACACTGAACACACACTGAACACACACTGATCACAGTGATCGAGCTGTATTACACTGAACACACACTGAACACACACTGATCACAGTGATCGAGCTGTATTACACTGAACACACACTGAACACACACTGATCACAGTGATCGAGCTGTATTACACTGAACACACACTGAACACACACTGATCACAGTGATCGAGCTGTATTACACTGAACACACACTGAACACACACTGATCACAGTGATCGAGCTGTATTACACTGAACACACACTGAACACACACTGATCACAGTGATCGAGCTGTATTACACTGAACACACACTGAACACACACTGATCACAGTGATCGAGCTGTATTACACTGAACACACACTGAACACACACTGATCACAGTGATCGAGCTGTATTACACTGAACACACACTGAACACACACTGATCACAGTGATCGAGCTGTATTACACTGAACACACACTGAACACACACTGATCACAGTGATCGAGCTGTATTACACTGAACACACACTGAACACACACTGATCACAGTGATCGAGCTGTATTACACTGAACACACACTGAACACACACTGATCACAGTGATCGAGCTGTATTACACTGAACACACACTGAACACACACTGAACACACACTGATCACAGTGATCGAGCTGTATTACACTGAACACA